AATATTATTGAAAACTCAACTGTATTTGTGCACAATATTTATTAAAAACAATTAGATTCTGTAAAATTAATTTTCATTAAATACACACTGGTTTTAGGCAATGCGATAAATTACAAAACTACACTAGCATATTATAAAGGGAAATTATTTTTTTATTTAAATTCCCAAATTTGTACACATTATATACTTTATGATATTAATGATTATTTTACTTTAATTAAACGTAAAAACAAATTCTGGGCCCATAATAAAATATGCGACCCTTTTTTATCCCTTCTTAGTCAAAGCTTAACTACTTACTATTCCTTTTTTTATTATTAATTAAAATATCAGCGAAAAGACGGTAAGGCCCTCCCCTTCGTTGGCAAGAGAGCGAGTTGCTGTCAAAGGAGACTATGAGCATTTTAGTAATTCGAGTGGACTGTCGGCCTTCTAACTATGGTTAAATCAACAACGGTATCGAGTTAGAGTTTGTTCGTTACAGGGCGCTCGTGAGGTTTCTGTCAATGTGCGATGAGGGGGAACGCGGCGTCGGTGACTCGCCTCGACTCGGACGATCCGGAGCGACGAGTTGAAAAATTATCCCAAATAATGTAGGAGTAATTGTTGAAGAGATTTGGTGGTATATAAAAGGAAGAAGAAGCATTCTGAGTATTGAGTGGCGAAGAAGGGAAGGAGGGAAAAGAGAGAATATAGGATAGAGAGAAATGGGGGATTCGAGCGACTCGGTTTCGGTGGATATGGAGTCGATCTATTCTGGGGGAAAGGTACCTGCATTTCCTGTCTCTTTTACGCATTTGTGTAAATTCATGTGATTAGACGTGTTTGAACTTTTTCTTTGTATGCTTGCTAAGAAATTGGGGTTCATAATGTTTTGTTTGGACGAATTCATGAAATTAATGATCGTTTAAGACGAAGTTAATCGAGGTTTCTGTGTCGGGTTAATGGCTGCATTCGTCCCCTTCCTTGTTGGTTGTGCATTGTTGATTTTGGTTTGGTTTTGGAAGGGTAGTTGCTGTTGATTTTCGTTTGCATTTTATGGAGTTTCTTTCTTTGTTTTTGAAATTCAATGGTCTTCTTTAGAATCACTGGCGCTGGGTGTTTTCATACCATAATTGGATGGAAGTTGGTTGTTTACTAGCTTAGAAATACATTTTGAATTGAAGTAGATAAAGTTACTTTATGGAAAGAATTTATCAGTTATGTTTTCTAGTTAATCTATTATGTTGTTTGCGTCTTCAACTATGAATTTCCATATAGTTAAGCTTTTGTAATCCTCTTTTAATAGTATTTCATTTATGATTCTTCTACTTGCCGCCTTTTTTTTTTAGGTGCTTCAGTTCTCATTTTTTGTTGTTGTCAGCTGTCTTCACCGAAATAATTTAATTTGAATGCAAACTCATCAATAACTATTAGATTAATTCTTCACTTTACTTCAGGCGATTACGTATAAAAATTAATATTTGTCCAATCATGTTTATGGCAGGAGTATCTTGTGAAAACCTGTTATGGTGCTGTTTCTGTCACTGTGGTTGGAGACCAGGACAAACCAGCTCTAATCACTTATCCTGATTTAGCTCTAAATCGTGAGTATGTAGAATGTGTCTTGTAAAATGTTATTCATTTTTGTATGCGTATATTAGCTAGGTCACACTTCAAGTTACATTTTGAATTTAAACCCACGTCAAAGAAGTTGTATGATTTTGAGCATTTCCAGTCATCAAGAAAAGAAAAGTGATGAATCGTTTTTATTTTCAGTCTTGTCAGATGTGCTTTTAACGTAATCCACAATATAGTTAGAGTGTAAAGTAGATCTTCCAGTAAAATAGACACAATTTAGAGTTTTGGATTGATTATAATAGAGTTTTTTTTTTTTTTTTTTTTTTTTAACTTTTTCCTTCTTGTTTCAGAATAAGTAGTTTTTTTTTTTCATTACTTGCATTACATGGTTTTTTTGTTTTTAATTTTACATGCTGAATCTTTTGGATTCTATAATATTGGTTATCTTTATCATCTACGGTCCTTTTGGTTGAAACCATCTGTCTTTTTGGTTTATTTTTTTTTAAAATTGTTTCACCCACATATTTGTCTTCTATATTTTAATAGTAGCTTTTGAAATCCATTTATTTTTGTTTGACAAGCTCATTCTTTCAAGATAGGAAAAATAAGTTATTTAATAAAAACATAGCAATCTGAAAACCAAGGTCCATAAATTTTAATATGAGTTAAAAAGAAATGAAATTATGTATGGCTTATAACTTTGAACTTTTAGTGTCTATCTTTGATTTGTTCGGGTTATTTACTAATGTTTAAATTCCTTATATTTCATTATTTATCAGATATGTTCTGCTTCCAAGGATTGATGTTTTGTCCAGAAGCTTGTTCGTTATTGCTTCACAACTTTTGCGTATATCATATCAGCCCTCCTGGACATGAGGTTTGTATAATTGGCATTGTCTTATGTATATATCTCTCTCTCCTTTTTTTTTTTTTTTTTTTTACGTATTAGGCTGTTTTCTACATAGAATAGATCACAAAGCAATTCACTCATACTAGTGAGTACCTTTTTATGAGCGAGTTACTCTTTTTTATCTATTCTATGTAGAAAATAACCTATTATATAATTGTTTTGTGTGGCTTCGATGAAAATGAACTTTCCAACAAGTAGGTTGTTTTCTACTTTCACATGAATTCTTCTCATATTGGGACCTTGTTCAAGAGTTATTGCAGTTGGGAGCTGCTGCAATTTGCCCTGATGATCCTGTACTTTCTGCAGATGACTTAGCAGATCAAATTGCTGAAGTTCTTAACTATTTTGGGTAATTCGGTATTCTTTTTGGCTATTTTCAATTTAGTATAACTTAAACTTCAACTAGATTAGAATTCCACTTGTCTGACACGTGGAAGTCTTATTTGTTTTACTCATGAGCTCGATTTAGAATGGATATGCACAAACCGGAAGACTTACTCTTCTTCTTTCGCTTTCTCCCAGACTCAGCGCTGTGATGTGTATGGGTGTTACAGCTGGAGCTTACATCCTCACTCTCTTCGCTGTAAGTTTTCTCCCTGTTCACCATGCACGTGATTGCTTTTGTTCTGCTTTGTTTTTTCAAGTCCTCTTGGGAACTTCTCTCATATATTGATTTCACTTGTTGGTGGCAGATGAAGCACAGGCATCGTGTTCATGGTTTGATATTGATCTCTCCCATATGTACAGCTCCCTGTTGGACAGAATGGTTGTATAATAAGGTCTTATTTCTGAACTTTTGCGATCATCTTCTGGTTTATTGGAATCAACTTATAAACGAACTTTTCCAAATGCAGGTGATGTCAAATTTGGTTTATTTCTACGGCATGTGTGGGGTAGTGAAGGAGTTCTTGCTAAAGCGGTATTTCAGTAAGGTAGGTCAAAATAGCTTGGGGTTAGACAGCAGAATTTATGTCGTGATGTTGGTCTTTCCTTTACGCAGTGTTTGGATTTGTTAAATCCTATACAACTTGGGATACCTAAATCCAGGCTTTTAAAACACATTGCTTAGGTTACACACTGACTACGAACTTTTATACTCATTTTTCTTCCTAACCTAAACACGAACCAACTTCAGGTTACTTACAGAAATTCAAGCTCTTAATAGAGTTATTCTTTATCAACTGAGTTTGATTGGACATTTGTACTTTGCTGGTTGTTTGGTTGTAGGAAGTTCGTGGTTGTTCTCAAGTACCAGAGTCTGATTTAGTTCAAGCATGCAAAAGAGTGAGTAATCCAGCATTTTTCTAGATTTCTTTTAGCAACTTTAAACTGCTAATTATTACACAGTTGGAAAACATAACGAATTTTAAGAGTTGAGCATTTTTTTGATCAAACATTATGCACATGTCCTATTTCTACAGTCGCTTGAGGAGAGGCAAAGTTCAAATGTCTGGAGGCTTCTTGAAGCGATGAATGGGTAATGTATCGAACTCCAATCTTTTGATGCGTTAAAGAATTTGTGCTTTTCATCAAGTTATCCCTCTGATGTGGGTAGATTTTATGATTTGATTATGTATGAGGGTCAGAGGTCATCCTTCCTTAACATTGTTTTTCTTTAATGCAGAAGGCCCGACATTTCAGAAGGGTTGCGAAAACTGAAGTGCCGTTCATTGATATTTGTTGGGGACAGGTCCCCTTTCCATTCAGAGGCCCTCCACATGACTGTTAAACTAGACAGAAGATACAGTGCCCTTGTGGAAGTATGTCCAAAATTTTCTTTTCCTCTTTGGACATTATTCATACGTTAAAATCTTAAAGCGGGCTTTATACTACGATGAACTAAAGCTAGCAAGCTCTATTTGCAGGTTCAGTCATGTGGGTCAATGGTGACGGAGGAGCAGCCTGATGCCATGTTGATACCTATGGAGTATTTTCTCATGGGATATGGCATGTATAGGCCATCTCATTTTAGCGTCAGCCCAAGAAGCCCCTTGAGCCCATCTTGCATTGCTCCAGAGCTTCTTTCGCCAGAAAGCATGGGCTTGAAGTTGAAACCAATCAAAACAAGAATCTCATTGGAAGTCTGAACGATGAAAGGAGGCAGAAGAAAAGAAAATAAAGATCGCTTTTTGTATTTATTTGAACTCGAGGACTTGGATAGTTTTTTGTTTTTTCTCTGGCAATCCATCAGTTCATGAATGTGAGAGGTGTGAGATGTAGATAGAGAAGGAAAGAGGATAATTGATAGTGAAAACTTCTAGGCAGAAATCAGAATTTGTCATTCTTTCATTTGTAATCAAAAGAGTTAGTTGAAGAGTTGGACCGTAATGTAAATCCCAGAATAATTTATTTCCAATAAATAAATAATGTTTTTAGATGGAAAGATCGCCTACTTCTGACCATGTTTTTCTTTGGCCTTTTCTTTGCAGAATGAAGCTTGTGATTCTTCATGACGATCAGTAATGTTTCCTTTTCACCCTTAAATTATTGCATTTAAATTAGTCTTTGGAGATGTAGCAATAAGGAGATCGAAGCAAAAGAAATTCTTCAGGTTGAATGTTTCGATTGCCTTAAAGAATATATAGAATGTTCATTGTGGTTACATCCACGCTGGAATTCAGTCCAAGATAAACTTGTCTAATCATTCACTATATAATGCTCAATCATTCACACTTCAAGCTAACATCTTATTGCTGCAGATGCTTATCTGGGTCGTTGAATTCTTATCCCTTCCTAGTTTTAACTGGATTTTCTTCTGCTCATTTCAGCATACATTTCTTCAATCATCGGTTTCCACAGCCGAACACGAGCATTGATGAACCAATTAGAAACCTGCCCAAATGCAAGAATGGCATAAACTCAGTAAAGGTGACGAAATGAAAATTCGAGGAAATCCTGACGCAGCAAGAACCTGATTTCTGGTTAATCCGCTTTTTACTGCAAGTAAATGCTTCTCTGTGTCCTTGGGGTACCTGAAAAATCACAACAGTTGACACAATTCCATTGAACAAACATTCCTTCAACTTATTTTACATAACTTCAAGATGCAAACCAAATTTGTCTCAGAATCTTACGGATGGAGAAAATTCTGAAACATCCATGCCCTTAGAACTGAGACAGATTTTTCAGGTAAGCCTCTCTGTGGCCTCCATAATTGACTATCTTTCCTTTTCAACTGCTGGAGAGCCCACTGCTTCTGGATGAATGATGCCTCGAAGGTTTTCTCGTTCTCCTTGGTGCACATAGTGTCAGAATGCATCCCCACAGCAATAATGCAATCAGTAATTTTCTCCCTCAAGTTTTTATAAACAGAAGTGATTGTCTGGAGAGTGTAACGAGTATGCAAGCGAGGGTCCAAATCAGTGGCGGCATGAAATGCAGATGTAACAGTATGAATCTCGTCCAAGCATTGACTGTACCTCTCATCAATCTGAAACATTATCAAGTTGTTCAGTAATAGAACAGTACAAAGACTATAAAATCAGTGAACCATTATATTCAGTTAACCAACCAATTGTAGTAGAGTCAACAGATGGGATTTCTTGGCATCACCAGATAGTTTTTGCCATTGAAGCTCCATTTGAATTTGTGAACTGCATCTACCAGTTATATCAGAACCGAATTCAACTGTATTATCATCCAGGGAACTTGATGAGAATGGCACAAACCCAACTGTGGATGTTAAATGCCTATCTTGTTCTGAACTTTCTAGTGGATAGCTTGCAATTTGAGAAAGTACGTCCTGAATGACCGAGAGATATCTTGATCCCGCTATTGCTTGAGAGAGGTGAACAGGACTACCACATCTGTAACTTAGAGAGAGGTCCCTGAAGTTGCACGAGTTCAGGTTCGAGGCTAATTCTGTGCTATTCAAGCAAGGCTGAGTAGCACCAGAAAAGGTCAACTGTGAATACTGGTCCAGAAAATTGGTTCCTCCGCTAAGGACGGGATTGGATGTGGCAAGACTAAGAGAAAGCTCATTCCATAACTTGGAGTTCATAGTATTAGATGGCATCCAGCCATTTTGATTCAGATTTTCCATAGACGATATGGTCTGGAAATCTGATCTTTCTGGATTCTCCCTTGCAAGTTGCTGAATACAGTTAAACCTCTGGTTTTCCCACTTGTTCAAGTTACATAAAGACTCATCATCTTCACAGATCAGAGAACTTGCAAATGAAGAATTTAAAGCATTAGAGGTACTGGGTATGATGCACGTTCTAAAAGTTTCTAATGGCTGGAAATGACGGTCTGGAAATGCTATATCTTTCGTATTTTCACAAACAACGTTAACTGGAGTGAGAGAGGTGGATTGAAAAAAATTAACAGGAATTGCTCCTGCTAACTGATTATGAAGCTCAGCATTACCAGAGGGACTCGAACAAGCATCCCCCAGATCGATTTGTTGCAAGGCAGTCGACATTGGGGAAGAAACTAAGAACCCCAACTGATCAGATATCAGTACTAGTAAGAACAGAGCATCTAGATTCTCGCAGAGTCAAAAGGATAGGAAATTCAGCTGCAATATGGCTCGGATCATTACGGTCAAATTAATTGGACATATCGACTGGGTTCTGAAAGTGAAGTCATTTGGGCTTAGCCAAATCCACCTGAGAGCATTCATCAAGTCATTTTCCAACTGTTTAAGCTGCAATTCCAACAGCATTTCTAAGTTCAATGCAATATCAAGTTGTTTGTACCAAACAAAAATAAACTTTCCCAGTTCGAAGGATAAGGAGAAGCACTTCCAGCTAAATCCAGATATCCAAAATCACATTAGACCAGAATTTACTTCAATGTTGAAAGGGAAATTAGCAGTGGTAGCATGCATATCTAGACCCAATTGCCACAAGAATGAAAAGCATGCTACAGAAAATGACAAGCCATACCTGGAAGCTTCACAAATTATTACGACACAATGCAATAGAGGGAACAAGCATAACAACATACAAGAGTGAAGGAAACAGTGGTCCACATCAAAACTCACTCTGTAAACCACAAGCCAAAGCATAAAGATTGGGCACTGATTACATGAGATGACAAAGAAACCAACCTTCCACTTGATAAATCTTTATCATCCAAAATAGGATGAGAAACTTAACGTGAAAGCCCCACACTTGATCTTCTGAAAAGTACACTGTGGTCCTGAATTTCTAGGCAAATAAATGGATGTGATAGCTTAGCGAAGAACTTCAAGGTTGCAAAGTATAAAACACAAAAAAATTGCTACAGTGGTTACATAATTCATGTTTCTTCACACACAGGAGATCAATGACAGCCTAAAAAGGCAAAAGGAGAAGACTAAAAGAAATTGGTTTCTTGTTTCTCCAGAAAAGGGTGCCTACGGTGAAAATCAAGATAAAGCCGATGGTAGAAAAAAGTGATACAAAATTTTGCATGAATAAAGGAAAATGGAATAGCCTCAAGAGTCCAAACCCCGAGAAGCTTAAGTTTGGAGTATTGAACACCAAGGAGATGTATAATCACAATCTCTGGCCACAAACATTAAAGCTAAAATACGTACAGCTCAGGAAAATGAATGACACCCATCTCAGAGAACCATGAAAAGGAAGAAAGAGAGTCGAGAGGCCACAAGAGAACTCTGCATGACGGTGGAGATGGAGGAAATGGACCCACTAGATAAAGATAGAAAGAAGTAACAGCCGCACAAGAGAAAACCAGGGGGTGGGTAGAGAGAGAGAGAGAGAGAGAGATTTGCCCTTGGGTGCAGAGCCACTCACTCTTTGTTACAGGCTTTAAAGGGCCCATGCCCTTCCTCTCTGTGCCATCTCCTTTGTCTTGCTCATGTCCTCTTATTATCTGATCCACTGCAATCATCATAATCAAAATATCTGGATTCTCTCTGTTGAAACTTCTGTTCCTGCCAAGTCTTCTCAGCACCATTTTTCAGACAACTCCCTTTCTTTTTAGCTATACTGAACAAGAAAACCAAAGTGATGAGATGCAAGAGCAAATAAAGGAACTATGCATCACACTTTTTCTTCAGAATCAAACAACAAACAACTTAAAGGCAATCAAATGTGAAAAAGAGAGAAACTTTACTGTTTCACCAGTGTACTTTTGAACAGTTATAGTCTCAGAGTTTAAAGGGAGAGAAAAGAGCCTGAAAATGATGATGCAAGCAAACCCAAACTGACGAGAAAATCCTGTGGGATATCTTTGACGAATTTAATGGCTGCAAGTCGCAATAAACCAATACCCATCTGCTTGTTTTGGCTATATGTACTTCTTGGATTATGAGAGTGACCCTAATGCTCATGTTCGAACCATAATGGTTATCCATTAAGTAACAACATGGTGATGAAACAATGCAATCAATTCTTAAATCTAGAGCTCTGCCATTGGATCTGAGGTGATACAACCCCACTTTTTCCACCATTGTCTAAATCTTTTCTCTGATCTTCTTTTGAGCTCTGACCAAGAAGCTATAATGGGATTTGGGTAATAACCAGAAATAACCAAAGGAAATAATGTGGACCTACAACCTCAATGCTCGAGCAACTCCTCCATCGGGCTGTTACTCGAGAGAATGCCTTGTGGGTTCTGCCTTTTCTCTGCACTGCAGGCTTGGTAAGTGAAACCATTTAATGGGCTTAATTTGTAAGCATCCCAATTGTCGCTCTGAAGTCAGACCCCTCTCTCTTACAAAGTGGGGTTTTAATGATTACCCAAGTAAGAAAGGAAGAGAAGGGTGTCCCTAACGCGAGAGTTAATGGACAAAATATGCTTCAAAGAGTACGGTTCTTGAAAGGATTAAAGAGAAAAGACAGTACATTCATTAAACTCAAGTGTAATTATCATTCAGCTTCCACGTAGGATGGTGAAGTAACTCAAAGCTCGAGATTGATTTCAAAGAGCAAAGGTGTTTGACAGCACAATGACAAAAAAGAAAAAGGAAAAACTCAGAGAAATTGACAGTAAAATATATGAAATTTTCTTACCATTACCACATGGTTGAGTGTGAAAAATCGGGGGGTGTGGGGTCTGCTGCTACTTGCTTGGTTGCCTGCAAACCCAAACAGAGAAATGCTGCCAATGGACACTGCAGAGAAAAAGAAAAAGAAAAAGAAGAGTTCAAATTCAATGTCTCGTAGCCCTTCGTACTACTAAAAGGGAATACTGAGTGCTACCTTTTCTTCTCTACTAATGTTCGGTTTTTTGTGTAATTCAGAACCCACAAACTGGGCTTCAGTCGTAGAAGCAAACAATTTTGACGCAGAAAAGGGTTTTGGGGACGTTTTTCTTTGAACATGGATGAATTTCGACCGCATGATTAAAGCAACTCAATTCGCCCAAAATTGGACAAGTTGAGAAACCTCGTGACAGCTTCGCAATCGGATTCAGAGAGAGGTCCCAAGGTGGGTGACCAATATCCGGACCTTCTCATGACTCAGACACAGTGCGTGCTCAGTTGAAAAGACACAAACACCCATCAACCAAAACGCGGTATTTTTCTTTTAAATTCAATATTAATTGTGCATTTTAATATCAAACCCAATTTACTAAATAATATCACAAATAATGAACGTTGACCTAGATTTATTAACTTAAATTGCCAAAAAAGAAATCAGAAATTAGGAGTATGCCATTTTTAATTTAAGCATACTAGATATAAGTTTAAAAAATTAAGAATCTATTAAGTATTTTTTAAACATCACTAATTTATACTAACATAAAAATTCATTCACAGTATAATTTAACAAAAAATTTAATCTAAGATATTTTATTTAAAAAACATAAAATTACTTTTGAAATCACACATTCTAAGTACTTTTGAAGATTTATTTTTTTAGTTTCTGAATTTGAATATTCATCCATGATAAGTGTTAACTAGTTGAGTTGTATTAAGATTAAAAAAAAAATAATGATTGTGTCCTTTAAACGAAAAAAATATTTGTATATATATTGGCGTCCCGATTTTATGATGTATACGAATTCACCCCTGTTCTCTGCATAAATTACAAGAGTGCCATTATCGCAAAACTACTGTCTGGCCCATATTGTATAATGTAGCCCAGTTGCGCCATACTACTTATCCAAGCCCATTAGTTTAAAAGTGGCCCATTTATCACTTGTGAAATCGGCCGAGGGCTCTCACAGCCCGGCCCAAAATGCATGAATTGAAGTATTATCATAGGTTATGTGTGTAACTCAACTAGTTTATGAGAGTTCACGTGCTTCAGGATCATTTATTTATTCAGCTACCTGTTTTGATATCTGAATTTTCAAACTCCATGATTTAAAATTTGTGTTTAGTGGGGGTGGGGGGTGGGAATCGATGGACTTACAGCTTGGACCTTTTTTTCGCTGATGACCATCTGATGAAGAGTCTTGAAGGTGACAACTTGGTAAAAATCAATATTGGCACTGCAAAAAAGAAACAGCAAAGTGATCATTTTGGAGGGTACCAATTTCATTATAAATATCCAAACTATAATACATTTTACAAAGAATCAGCTCATAGTGAAGACAAATACAATAGTAGTTCCTCTACAGTACTGGCCCCACAGTTCCTCTATCTGATTTTTCCATATCTAAAGGTCAGTTGAGTGTAACAAAAAATGATTCTGGACACGCTTTTATATGATGCTAGAAAAACATGAAATATACAGATTGGTTCAATCGACTTCACTTGCACATGGGGGATGATAAGCAGCCCAGAATTTGACTCCTCCAGCAGAAAATGATGTTTCATTTTCAATCGACATACAATCAGAGTATCACTGTCATGAATCATGAGGTCCCTGGACTATCAACATTGCCCGCTGCTTTACACTGTCTGAGCGGATGATGTCTCCTTTAAATCCAATCTGAATTATAATGAGGAAAAATAAAGATAAATTTTGATCAAGCAGATAACAAATAGTGGCGTATTAAGCAGTGGAGCCGAATTTAAGTAAAAGGTTTCTACCTCAACGAGACTATCTGGAGAGAACCATCGCAATAGCACGCCTAAATGCACTACAGCTGGTATCAGCTTGAAAAGAAAAGGAGTTGTCACCTGCACAAAATGTTCACAAATGCCCCATCCAGAAGTTTATTTCTTGAGATAATTGATCATAAATATAATGGCGAACACGTGCTCATGCAAAAAGACATTAACATTTTATAAAAATACAAATCATATAAGAAAGATTTTTAGCATCCAAACAATCCTAAGTAATAGTTATCAAACGTAGAGGAGAAGAATCAACCACACTTCCAGCTATTTCTAAATTATTCATAATTCTTAAGTATAATTGTTATCTTAAAAAGATAAACACTACAGCAGATAACTCAAACTAATCTAATAAAAAAAAAAGTCTAATAAAACAGCCGTGCTGAGAAAAGAAATTGATTTAATAGATCATAACCATACTACGTATGCGCACGCATACACACATACAGAATTGAATTACATCTCACCAGACTGAGAGCTGTGGTCCCAATAAGCAGTAGATACAATTTCCCCTGAAAATTGTCATAGTATCAGTATTGAGTAAAAAGTATAATTCTTTTCATTTATCCATTTTTAAATAAGAATAGTTTAAAAGATACACACATTATTAAACCAAGTGATCTTAACACTATTGTCCAAGTGGAGAAATTTTTTGTAACTTATTTGGAATGGGTTCTCCTCCCCACTTTTGTAATCTTGTACTTTCATATTAAAAAAAATAATGACAATAATACAAGTGATTTAAAAATGAATAGAACGGTAAATTTTGGAGTATTTAATTTTTAAGTTAGCATATTAAAACTATATATACATATATAAGATTGGCCATATTCAAGGCATTGAAAGTAAATTTTCTCAAGAGAAAAATAAGTAATCAAACTAAGCAGTATTTAATTTTGAACTGAATAAAATAAATTATAGTTAAGATTAAATTAGCCATATTAAAGAAAGTAATTGATTCACAATATTAAGTACCAAAAGTAACCCATGGTATTTAGTTTAAACTTGATCACATTAAGATAGCACAAATATATAGTACTTTATTTTGAAGCTAGTCAATTAAAATAACACAATTCAAAGAAACACTTTTCTCCAATCAAAATAAATTCGAAGAAATGATTTGAACTTTGAACTTGGTCATATTTGAATAATAAAAAAAACATTCTGTTTTTTGAGAAGCTTAAGTAAATTTGAGTCCCAATTATTCATTTAATGTATAGTTTTCATAAACTTGTACACCAAACACAATTGTCTTCAATCCAGACTTTCTATACTCCCAAATTAAACCCGCCACCGCCAGACTTCCTAAGTCTAGGCTTAAGAAACTGAACCCACACCCAAACGCCCCAAGTATCCCAGAGATCATGCAATATGATTTATGATTAACAGGAGAATTTTTTTCATGCATCTCATTAATGTTTTTCTTGAGAAGCAGTAAAACCGTACGGACCTCAACTAGATGAAGATTAGAAGCACGGCTGAGAAGAACAAAAGCAAATTCTCCAATCTGAGCCAGTGACATTCCAACCTACACATCAAAAATCAACATCCAGAAGACTTATTACAACATACCAGGAATTTTGGACAAATGCCGAAGATATAGTAATATAACCTTACCAAAACTGATGTCTTGTTGTTATATCCAAATCCCTTCACCACTGTGCTAATTACAATTGTTTTTACAATTATCACCAGTATAACAGCTGCTAGTAATATATCAACATGGTTCCACAAAAACTGAACGTGGATCAGCATTCCGATGCTGGCAAGAAAAAGGGCCGCAAAAAGGTTCCTTATAGGCTCTATCTGTAGACAATCAATTATAAAATCACTAAATAGGAATCAATGCATGCTTTTGTAACATTACAATTAAGTCATGCATCTCTTGAAACAAAGCATGGAATACTTTACTTGTTCAAGTGTGTGTTGAGCAAGATCAGTTGTCGATATCATCACTCCAGCAGCAAAGGAACCCAATTCTAGACTTAGCCCTAACTTATCACTACACTGAAATTGTAAAATAGTTAATAACAGAAAATACATCCACAAAATAATTTCAGTCAATCATATTGTGACCAATAAAATTATACAAGTTCATCATACAGACATGGGATCCCCACTGAAGTACACATGCTTCAAAGAGTTGTATTTTAAAAGAAGAAGAAGAAGAAAAGGCGCCAATAAGAGGAAGTTGTGCTGTTCTTTCCCTTTTAAAGGATAAATAAATGAAGTGCTTCGACAGATTCTTTTTTCTTTTGTTTTTTAACGTTATGAGGTGTAATTGGTGTGTTCTTTTGAAATTTTTTTAGTTTAATACCTCCTTGTGGAGGGTGGCCTCTAAGGTTTTTTGTAATAATTAGTTAGGTGTTATTCTTTTGGATTGGAGGCCCATTTAGTGGGTTAGGTCTCCTCCTGTGCGGGCTGTCTTTTCATATGCCTTGTATGAATTTCATGTTTCAAAATGAAAGTTTGGTTTTTTTTTTTTAATTAAAAAGATTAAAACTTTATAATATGCATGACAAACCTGAATAATAGAAATGATGACAATTCAAAATGACACCTTCGCATATGCATAAAATCAAACTCACACAGAACAAGGAAAGTAGATACTGACCCACGCTACAAGCAAGCAGAACGCCACTGAGGCTAATTGATAGAGTTCATTGGTCTGCAGAGAAAAATAACATAGAAAATGCATCTGAACTTCTGAAAATTGTCCAATTGTTAAATCACGTTTATAAATTCCATAGAATAATAAATGTATCAATGCAATAAAGCATACCTGTGATGATAGACTTATCATCAACTTTAAAAGCCAAGGAACACATGTACGGGATAAAATTGACAAAACAACCAAAAAAGTAACCAAGATCACCAACCTGGTTGAGAAATATAAAACCTCATAAATATAAGATTCGTACACCACAATTTATCTCATAATTTACAAGTCATTACAAAACCAGTTACCGCTCTTCCTTAGTAATAAAGGATTTTTAATTAAAACATCAAGAATAATTAACCATCTGCAAAATGCATAAAAGGCTAGTTTCATGTGATTCAGGTAGTAAATACAAAATATGGTTTAATGCACCAACTTTCGCTCTTTTTAGAATAAACATAAACCTCACAAGAAATGACACTCACAAACTCAAAGGAGCTTAAACTTAACCTTTGAACTCCACAAGTTTGTAACCAAACCAAACATATCTCAAAGCTCCTTAATCCCAAACATTTTTGAGAACCCTCGGGTACATACCTAAAGTGTTCTAAAATGAACACACCTCTAACAGCATTAAGCCCAATAATTTAAATTGTTGTTAGATTTTTTTATATGTGCGAGTGTTTGGGCCAGCATGTGTGCACCTTGATTATTCTCATGACAAAACTATTTGATCCTACAACGTTTGTTTGACAACATAACAACTACAATTGAAGGTACGCTCATGTGTTTAACAAATCCCTGATTATACTTACACTTTACTCATGGACATCACTCCTTGAAGAATACCAGAATTCCCACCCAATACTGGAAGCAAAGCAAACAATAACCCAACAGCACAGTCCTGCAAGGCCAAGAAAACAGATCAGTTAGGTAATAATTGTCTCCCCTATGAGGTCAAGATTAAATGAAGAAAATAAAAGGA